AAGAACCAACAGATTGGTCTTGGACGAAGTACAACCAGAATGTTCCTTAGAAACAAGGCTGGTGAGAATGTCTCGTGCTCTTTGGACATGCTATCAGAAGGGTCCAGTTTTTGGCGAAGACTGCTTCTAAAGCAGAGGGTCAGTGAAAATGGGGAAACCTTCAATGGGATTGATGGACATGATGGTGGCAACCATGGGCTCAAGCAAAGCAGAAATTTTAAGAATGGTTCAGGACCAGGAAATATTTTCTTCTTTTGTACAATCTGAGTCACAACTGAAACACAGGGACCTAATAACTGTGGGGGAGTGAGATTTCTTAATACGACTCTTCTACCCCAGGCTCTGTAACTCCCACCAAATAATTGAGTGGGATTACACAAACAGGGCATGTATAAAAATAAGAGAAAGAACTGGTCAGTTTTCTTTTTTCTTTTTTAAAATCATTTTATTGGGGGCTCGTACAGCTCTTATCGCAATCCATACATGCATCCATTGTGTCAAGCACATTTGTGCATTTGTTGCCCTCATCATTCTCAAAACATTTGCTTTCTCCTTGAGCCCTTGATATCAGCTTATCCCACCACCCCCACCCTCCCTCTCTCACGAATTCTTGATAATTTATAATTTTTTTTCTTTTCTTACATTGACCAATGTCTCCCTTCACCCACTTTTCTGTTGTATGTCCCTGTATTAGTCTGGGCAGACTAGTGAAACAAATCCATAGAAATTTGTATGTGTATAAGAGAGTTTTATATAAAGGGTAATAGTACATTAAGAAAGCATCCCAACCCAGTCCAGTCCAAGCCCATAAGTCCAATATTAGCCCATATGTCTCATACCAATCTATGAAGTCCTCTTCAGACTCAGAAAATACATGCCATGATGCCGAATGCAGACGGATCACAGGTCAGTGGGTGGGAAGTCTTGTAGATCCAATGGCATTGTAAGCATCTCAGCTCTGGCAGGGTCTCCACGTGACTTCTCCAGCTCCAGGGTTCTGACTGCATCAGGGTAGGTCCATGTGGCTTCTCCAGCTCAGGGCACTAGCGTAGCTCCATGTGTCTTGTCAGCTGCAATGTCTCCCAGGGAGTGAGCAGAGAGAGGTGTCTCCCGCCTCCAAGGAGGAAATACAGGCATTCCCAGAATTCTCAGGAGAAAGTCATACCCACCCAGAGGTCTCATTGGTTATATCTTGATTGACAGGCCAGCCTTGACCTCTTCATTTGTAATCCTCTCAAATTGATACCAGATTATGTGATTACCACAGTCCCTCTGGGAGAGGGTTATATGTAGATCATTGCAACAGGTTTCCCCTTTCTCCCCCCACCTTCTCCTCCCCCTCCTGGTATCTCTACTCTCATTATTGATCCCGAGGGATTTACCTGTACTGGATGCCCTACGTTTCGAGCTCCTATCTGTACCAGTGTACATGCTCTGGTCTAGCTGAATTTGTAAGGTAGAACTGGGGTCATGATAGTGGGGGTGGTGGGGGTGGGCAGGGGACTGGAGGAAGCATTAAAGAACTAGAGGAAAATTGTATGTTTCATCTGTGCCATAGACTGGTCAGTTTTCATTACCACCCCCCTGGCTATCAGTGGAGGGAGCTCTCTTTGTTGAGCCATCTTTGAAGCAGCAGTAAAGAGGAGAGAAACCAGAGGACCTGACAGGTGCATGTTGAAGATCTCTGTCTGAAGTGGCAGAGGCCACCAAGACCAGTTTCACCAGGGACTGTGGCATGGAGGCGCAGGGAAGCAGCACTGAGACAGTACGGTATATTCTCCTTATGTGCCCCAAGACTATCAAATGGGTCAGAGTGACAGGTGGGCTACCTTCCTGGCCCACAGAGGCTAAGACCAAGGGACTATAATATTGAGATACTAAGAACCAGAGAGAGAGACTTGGCTACCATAAGACTGAGAGGCTGAAACTGGAGAGAGACTTGGCTGCTGACTGAGGAGACCAGTGACTGTATTCTTACTGTTGGCTGATTCTGACTTAGGGTGATTTATTGACTTCCTGAATACATCCTCTTAATTGTGGGTATTGTCTGTGAGTTCTGTATGTCCATTACATCAAATTCTTGACCCCAAATGGATGTACATTGGCGTGGTGCCTCTTCTCTGATGGTCTCAGAATAGGTAAAGAAGAACGGGTCAGTAGGCTTGTCTGACCTCTACCTCATGCTGACCGGGAAACCAGACTGGGTTGATCTGTCCACTCCCATGCCACTTACTGCAACAACAACAATACATCTTTCCTGACACTTTCCATAGGCCAACTTTGACACTGTTGTCTAACAGTTGTGTTGCAATTTCAAAGATTAATGAAGATTTCTAGGAGTGCTAGAGAACCCAGAGCATTCTAGTTCTTTTCAAAGGAAATATAGTGGGGGAAGAGCAAGGGGGAGGGAGTAGAATGAAAATAGTTAATTCTGCAAACACCTTCTTCAGGTGAATATTTATGGGCATCACTAGCCTCCATATCACAGTTGATTAACCAAGTCCTAATTATAGCCTATGGAATGTATTTAACCCCTTATAGCTAAGGTGACCAGACATCCCGCTTTTGGCGGGACAGTCCAATTTTTAACAATTTTTTTCTGCATCCGCAGCATTTTTTAAAAGTCCCGATTTTTGGAAAGAATGCACAACAAGCTAGGGTATACGGTTTTCGGCTGCTATGTGGCTATTTCACCAGGACATGAGTTTTATCCGTGGTGTCCCGCTTTACCAATGTTAAAGTCTGGTTACCTTACTTATAGCAGTAGTGCTAAACTTTAGTGCATCAGAGTCACCAGGAGATCTCGTCAACCAGTTTCCTGAGTCACACTCCCAGAGACTCGAGACCAGTCTGTCTGGGGGGGAGCCCGATATCTGAGTGTCTGACAAGTTCCCAGGTCGATGCTGATACGGCCTTGCTGATTAGCCTTCCTAGAGGATGTTAATGATGCCGATGCCTGCTTTGAGAACCATGATCCTACAGCAGTTTATCTCGATCCTGGCTCTATGATGGAAGGCTCTTCTTTGGAATGCTCATAAAATCCTGAATCGTGGGCCCCACTCTAGATCCCCGAATCAGTCTCTGGGACAGGGCCTGCACATCTGTATGTGGATACAGGTCAATGAATGATTCTATGAATAATCAGGTTTGACAAGCAAATGTAATCAGGTGAGGAGATTTACAATACTAGAACAGAGTTAAAATGTGCTTAAATGTATTTTCTTTTACAAGCTGTTACTAATACTTACACAACCACAGAGCAGTTGGCAAACAGGAACGATTTCCGCACTACTGTGTGATGTGGACATGCACCATTTCAAAGGAGCTGCATTTTCCTCTACTTTACAAAGTAGCTCTGCACTCACGGTACAAATCAAAGAAGATAGGGACAGGGCAGTGACTGCAACCAAACCCACTGCCACTGCGAAAGCAGCAGGGAGACCGCATCTGACACCCTGGAGCCACAGGAGGGAGGAGGAGAAGCCACCTCCACACCAGCCCAAGGCCAACGGCCAACCAGCAGAGACCAGCTATGTCTCCACCCTCCATCCTTCTCTGACACTATTCTGATACCAACTGTTCCTCCCACGACACTCTACTTCTCTGCTAAGTTATAATGGCCACTCAGAACTCACAGATAACACTTACAATTAAGGGGACTTACTAGGGAAGTCCACAGGTTACCACAGCCAAGATCAGAAAAATTAAGGATTTAGTCGTTGGTCCATAGCAATCCTTCTCAGTCAGTAACCAAGTCTCTCTCTGGTCCGCAACCTCTCAGCCATGGGGTCCCTTGGCCTCTGCCCCCATGGGCCAGAAAACTTTCCCACTCCTCTGACTCACCTCACTGCCATCAAGTCAATGCTGACTCACAGGGACCCCCAGAGGTTCCCCAGACTGCAGGGGTTTCCATTGCACTCCTCTGGTGCCTCTTCTTTGAGGGTCTCAGGAATTCTCTCTGTTCCGGTTTCTGAGCTCCATCTCTTAAACCCAGGGTTATGGCAACGAAAACTGACCAAGGCCCTCTATTGGTGTTCACACATCCTACTTGCCTGCTCCCATTCAATCATTTGGTGACAGTTACAGAGATATGGATATAAGAGCCAGATTATGAAATTTCATTTCACCACAGCCATCAAGTCAGGTCTGAATGGCTGCTAATGGAGAGGTCAGCAGTGCAAACCCACCAGCCATTCTGTAAGAAAG